GAGAGAGAAAGGGGTGGGAGAGCACAGCCCCCCCGCTCCCCGCCAACGCGCAAACACAACAGCACTGTTAGCCTATTGGCTCAGGCGTCAACCGAAGACGGCACCGCATGTCTCTATTGGCTAAGGCTGTTCCGCATGGCGCCGGCACGTCGGGCATCCTTTACCTGACACACAGGCGTCACGATAAAGGCTGTGGCGACAGCAAGAACCCTCGGGCGGTGCAGCAGGGAGCAAGAGCAATCTCGGTCGAGTGGAGAGAAAATGGCGCTGGTGAAAACTCCGCCTCCCTCGTCTTCGCTGTCCGTCTCCGAAATGGGCGGTGCTCTCGCGAGATTGAAAGTCGCGCGCGCTTGGCCGGAGTATTGGGTCGTGAGCGCGCTGGTTTTCGGTGTCGGGCTGTGGAGCGACTGCGGGGCGCTGCTCCGTCCAATGTGTGCGTGGTATGCGGGGCGGGAGGAGTGGTTTTTACTGCCCCCCCCCTCCCGCCCCGTGCGTGGCTCGCTGCCCCGTCCCGGGTGCGGGTAAGTGGGGCTGCTACCCGCCCGACGGGGTTGGTGGGGGCTGGTGTTTAAGTCGCTAACTGCACCAGTGCCGTGGGCCCTGGCTCTTACAGCGCCTTGTAAAGGGTCTGGCCACACCCCCTGCTGCCTGCATCTTGGTGCAGGAACTAGGCTGGAGCTGTTGCACCTCCCTGATTGAATGGATTCCATCGTACTCAGGGTTTGAAGTTTGGCTCAATGGGCTCTCCACACCCTCCCTCTTACATAAATTGTTCCGGCCCCCTGCGCCTGCACTGTGAACTGACAGCGAGCCGCCCTTTCCCCCTTGCTCTGTCTGAAGCGAAGGATGTTGTCCTGTGTCCGCTCCCAGAATGCTCTTAAGTGCATGCCTCTGCCACATCAATAAGTTGCTCTTGTTTGGGAGGCAGTTAAATCCACTGCCTTTGACTGAGGGGTACCTGTGTGACATATGTCCCATTCCACTGCAGGAACCCCTATAATAAGAATGACAAAACCAGTTTACAAATATAAAACCTAAGGCAATAAAACAGTCTGTCCCATTGTACTCCTACAAGATGACCAGGCCTATATCTATAGATATGAGCAGACTGCTTTCTTTTCACTGAGGGACAAAGTGTGCTTGACCTGATGGGAAATGACTGATTCAGACAGAAGTTCAGGCCAGGTTAACTTTTTCCAGACTAATATCATTTAGAATTTCACAAGGGAGAAAGACCATGTGTGCCTCTAATTTTATAATGCTTCTTGTAGCTTTTAAAAATATAAGAATGGCCATACTGGGTCAGACCAAAGGTCTGTCTAGCCCTGTATCCTGTTTGCTGACAGTGGCTAATACCAGATGTCCCACTGTGCGGGAACAAACAGATAAGCCTCATTTGATCTCTCCCATGTCACCGATTTCCAGACAAACAGAGGCTAGGGACACCATTCCTACCCATCCTGGCTAATAGCCGTTGATGGACCTAAATCTCCATGATTCTATCTAGCTCTCTTTTGAACCCTGTTAAATCCTAGTCTTCACCACATCCTCTGGCTAGGAGTTCTACAGGTTGACTGTGCGCTGAGTGAAGAAACTTTCTTTTGTTTGTTTTAAACCTGCTGACTATTAATTTCATTTGGTGACTCCTCATTCTCATATTGTGGGATCAAGTAAATAACTTTTCCTTTTTCACTCTTTTCATACTAGCCATGATTTTATAGACCTTTGTTATAACTCTTTAGTCTCCTCTTTTCTAAGCTGAAAAGTCCTAGTCTCTTTAATCTTTCTTTGTAGGGGACCCGTTCCAAACCCCTAATAATTTTTGTTGCTCTTTTTTGAACCTTTTCCAATACCAATATACCTTTTTTGGGATGAGATGACCGCATCTGTATGTAGTATTCAAGATGTGAGCATATAATGGTTTTATATAGAGGCAATAAGATATTCTCTGTCTTATGCTCTATCCCTTTTTAACAATTCCTAACATTCTATTTGCTTTTTTGACTGCCGCTGCACACTGAGTGGATGTTTTCAGAGAACTATACACAATGACTCCAAGATCTCTCTCGTGAGTACTTATATCTAAATTACTCTCCATCGTTTTGTGTGTATAGTTGGAATTCTTTTTTCCAATGCATTTCTTTACATTAATCATGATTAAATTTCATCTGCCATTTGTTGCTTAATCGCTTAGTTTGGTGAGAACTTTTTGAAGTTCTTCACAGTCCGCTTTGGTCTTCACTATTTTAAGCAGTTTAGTATCATCTGCAAATTTTGCCACCTCACTGTTTACCCCTTTGTCTAGATCATTTATAAATAAATTGAATCTGATTGGTCCCAGGACAAATCCTTGGGGGACCCCACTAGCTACCTCTCTCCACTCTGAAAACTTACCATTTATTCCTACCCTTTGTTTCCTGTCTTTTAACAAGTTATTAATCCATGAAAGGATCTTCCCTCTTATCTCATGACAACTTTCTTTACTTAAGAGGTGTGTGTGTTTGTGTGTTTGTTTCCATTCCAGAGGAAAAGCTGTTGAGCTCTGTCTGGAGGTGCCAGTACTGCGTTTGGAGATGCCTGTATTGTGTACCAGGCACTACCATCACAAAAAAAGCACTGCTTAAGTGCCTTTGATGAGGTACCTTATCAAAGGCTTTCTGGAAGTCTAAGCATACTACATCCATTGGATCCCCTTTGTTCACGTTTCTTGATTCCCCTCAAAGAACTCTAGTAGATTAGGAAGACATTATTTCCCTTTACAGAGCCCATGTTGGCCCCCCTCCCCCAAACAAATTATATTCATCTACGTATCTGACAATTGTATTATTCTTTACCATAGTTTCAACTAATTTGCCAGGTACTGATGTTAGACTTACCAGTCTGTAATTGCCAGGATCACTTCTAGAGCCCTTTTAAAATATGGCGTCATGCTAACTATCTTTAGGTATAGAAGCTGATTTAAAGGATAGGTTACAAACCACAGTTAATAGTTTTGCAATTTCATATTTGAGTTCTTTCAGAACTCTTGGATGAATGCAATCTGGTCCTAGTGACTTGTTACTGTTAAGTTTATCAATTTGTTCCAAAACCTCCTCTAATGACACCTCAGTCTGGGACAATTCCTCAGATTTGTCACCTAGCAAGAATGGCTCAGTTTTGGGAATCTCTTCAATATCCTCAGCTGTGAAGACCGAAGCAAAGAATTCATTTAGCTTCTCCACAATGACTTTAGCATCTCGATCATCCAAGGGCCCCACTGGTTGTTAAGCAGCCTTCCTGCTTCTGATGTACTTAAACGTTTTGCTATTACTTTTTGAGTTTTTGGCTAGCTGTTCTTCAAACTCCTCTTTGGCTTTTCTTTTTATTTTTACATGTAGTTTGACAACTTTTATGGTCCTTTCTATTTTCCTCACTAGGATTTGACTTCCACTTTTAAAAAGATGTTTTTATCTGGTGGTGCTTCTTTTACTTGGTGGTTAAGCCAAGGTGGCACTGTTTTGGTTCTCTTACTATATTTTTTAATTTGGAGTATACATTTAAGTTGGGCCACTCACATGGTATCTTTGAAAAGTTTCCATGCAGCTTGCAGAGATTTTACTTTTGTCACTGTACCTTTTAGTTTCCGTTTAGCAGAATAAAAAACCTGTAAACATTGTTTACTTAATAATTAAGTTAAAATAGGGTTTTTTTTTAATGTAACATTAAAAGAGCTTTCAGTAGTTATATGAGTGTTCCTTAAGGCCTCACTGATGCAGTTTGGCACCAGCTCTACCTAGAATTGTAGTTTAGTGAAGGTGTCTGTGTCATTTCACATATTTGAAAGTACATTTAAACCCCAGTTGTCTGGCATCCAGTGGTCCGGCAACCCCTGGAAGTGCTCCAGGCAGCCCGACAAATTGAGCTGCTCTGCCCCGGGCTTCCCCGAGTCAGCCGCTGGTCAGTTTCAGCAGCGGCTGGCTGGGGGGCTCCCGGGGCAGAGCAGCTGGGGTGCTGCTGGGTTGGTCCTGCAGTGCTGCTTCCCCACCCCACCCCACCCCAAACTCCTCATAGCCCCCCTTCCGATAGTTCGGAATATTTGATAATCTGGCACTCCCTGGGTCCTAAAGGTGCCAGATTATCGGAAGTTTACTGTACTTTGCAACTGGGTTCAGGACTTGGATGTATCTTTAGCTGAGTTTCATCCAGTTACACTGCTTGGCCTCTGTGTCATACACAAATCCCCGGTGTTTCTTGTAGAATAGGGTGGTCCTATTGCTTCTATGTATAAACTAGCAGCAGTGAAAATACGGATCATGTTCCCTTCAAAAGTGGGAAGGGTACTAGATCAAATTCTGGAGGAAGAAGGCAAACAAACTGAAACTGAGGAGGATCTCCCAGTCTGCTTCCACTATTTAGTCTTGGGGTGAGATAAGAGAAAATGAGACGATATCAACAGGAGTTGTTTCTACTAGCAAGGGGAAAGATTTGAGTCACACGTTTGTCTGAAGCCCATATAAAAGATGGAGTCACCAAGATGGGTTCAAGGAAAGCAGCCTAATCAAAATCTCAACAATTTCTCAGTTCTTTCTGGTGTACAGCTGGATACTTACTTTATGTATGTCAGTTAGAGTTTATTTGCTGACTACATCACAGCCAGATTTAACTATTGAAAATATATTTATTGTAGAATTTCAGTTATACAGAAATGCATTTGCAACTTATTTAAAGTTTCTTTAAATTGTTTCTGTGATCATTATTCCTTATTTCTAGTTACATATGCTACATTTTTATATTTCTGCTGTAAAATATAAATTAGAAAGTGTCTGGACAATAAGTATTTTCTTATTTCTTTTCAGGCGAGTCATGCATTGTTCTTACAGTTTAAAAGAAAATGAATGCATCTAGTGTTTCAGGAAAAGTGGAGACCTGGCTTGCTTCTACATGGCATGTTAAAGTTCCTCCTACTTGGCTAGAAGCTTGTATTAACTGGATCCAACAAGAAAATGGTTGTGGAAATTTAACGCAAGCTCAGATTAACAAACAGGTGTTTGAGCAGTGGCTTCTTACAGATTTGAGAGATTTGGACTATCCTGTTTTGCCTGATTGCATATTAGATGGTCCAAAAGGAGAAATAAATGGCTTTTATTCCATACAGATTGATTCAGTGGCTGATGTTAGCCAACCTGCATATTCCCAGTTGCAAAAAATAAGAGGAAAAAATACCGTAAATGAAGAAGTAACAGCCAACACTCAGGCATCTCAGAAATCCTGGGAAGCAAAGCCTACACGAATGCTGATGATGCAGTTAACTGATGGAATACATCAAATTCAAGGTATGGAATATCAACCTGTTCCTGTCCTCAATAGTAATCTTCCTCCAGGTACAAAAATTACAATACAGGGTAACATCGCATATCGTCTCGGAGTTCTTTTGCTAAAACCAGAAAATGTGAAATTGTTGGGAGGTGAAGTAGATGCTCTTCTAGAGATGTATGCTCAGGAAAGAATCCTTGCTAAGTTAATTGGAGAAGCTGAGAACCCTAATCCTACTATACAGAGTGATCATGAAGGTGGAGCTTTAGGAGCTATAAATGAAGTAGGACAAAATCTAGGGCCTTCAGATGAAGAACTTCTAGCAAGTCTCAATGAAAACAATGAATTTACCATAAATCATGAGGTTCCTTTAGACAGTGGATATTGTAGCAGAAGTGACAACTCAAATACAACTACACATTGGCTCCTTTCAAATAATGAAAACTCAGAAAAGGGATCTGGGATCGTTTTGCCAGTGGCAAATGAAGAACAAAGTGTTCCAGCTATGGAGTTTGTTGATGGAGATTTAGAGGACTTCTCACTGGAGGACAATTTGTTTTTAGAAGAGGAGATCCAAAAAGAAATTCAGATTATGGCAGGTGATTGTACTAACGAAAACACAGATCTAATAACAGAAAGATTTTCACGTACGCCCAGATCTTTGATAAGTTACACATCTGAAAAAGAAGGCAGAGTTCAGTTGGATTCAGTCAGTAAAGAGAAATCCTGTGGGAGAGAACTGTCAGTTGGTGATGAAAACAGAACAAGTAATTTCTCACTACACCATAACGTACAGCACTCCCAAAACTTTACCAGCGATTTATCCTTGGAAAATGTTCTTGAGCAGGAGAAGTGTAATAAGATAGATGCAGTTAGGATCACTCAAAAAACATGTCTTTTTTCTGGCAGCAAATTGTTAAACAAAAGACCAATTAATTTTTCAAAAACCGATTCAGAGATAAACAAACAAAATAACTGTGTACAAACCTTTTTTGACAGAAAAACGGAGAAATGCAAAAATGTTGAGTTAGATTCTCCACCTTTTACATATATTTCTGTTCTACTTGCAAATACCCCCAAAACAGTTACAACAATAAAAGTTAAAGCCTTTATTGTAACCCTTACCGGAAATCTCATAAGCAGCAGTGGCTTCTGGAGTATAATGGCAAACATTTCTGATGGTACTGCTTATCTAGAGGTAGACATTGCTGATGAAATTCTAACAAGCTTGATTGGATTTTCAGTGCCTGAAATGAAACAGTTAAGGAAAGATCCCCTTCAACATCAAAAGCTTACGAATGGTTTACAGAAATGCCAAAGAGAGCTGATAGATCTTTGTTGTTTGATGACTATCAAATTTAATCCCTTTCAGTCGAAAGCAACAGTACTAATTTTGCAAGATGTTGATGCAATAGATCTAGAAAACTTGAAGAAACGTTTATATAAATAGTTTAAGGAAAAAATTACAGAAAATAGTCCCTTGAATTATGTAATTCAAGGCATGGCAAAGTAAGTGTTGAGAACTCCATTAAGAAAATTCTAGGGTTTGTGTTTATTTTTCTTAATGGCAGGGAGGGAAAATTGGGCAGAATATCGATTTTTAAGGAAACAAATTTAGAATAAAAATTACAAATACATTTGTTTTGACACGCTATGTATGCTTCTAAGTATTTTTACCTTTACCAAAGCTACTTTACTCCGTTTCCGGAAGCTGAGGAAAATAAACTTTCAGATAGCAAACTGGAAATTGAGAGCTGATCCTTACATTTTTCCAGTAGAGTAGACATTAGAACTTGTCACTGCTAATGAATTTACATAGAGGGGTATTATCTAGTCCTGGAAGAAATTGGGAGTAAATACAATTATTTGCTTTCATCACAAGGTACTGAAGGCAACTTCTGTCAGAAATAGAAGTTACCTATATATTATGAAATACTATCAGGACAAACACCAGAGGTTTTTTAATACAAATACTTACTTATGTAGTAGATGAGAACCTGATAGTAAATAGAAATAGTTTATGCTCAAAAGTCAGACTTATTTTATTCATATTGTCCAGTGTGAGAAACAAAGACTAACCAACTGAAATAAATAACTTCACGCATACACATTGGAAAATCTAAGAGTTTTTAAACATTATTTCATTTAAGAGAGGGTAGTGACATATATGTAAACAGATCTGTTTGTTTTTAAACTGACAGTGCCATTGATCAATATAATAGTGGTAGAAATGTAGTTGTGTTAGCAGTATAGTAGTACTGCAAGACTGAATCCCAATAACATAAATTTCTTCTCTCCGGATTAGTTATTTACCACCTTGACAAAAGTTGCTTTTCTAGTTTTGTGCTATTTAGTCAAATGTTTTTTATGATCTTGAAATGTTTCATGTCAGTATGGTTGTATTATATTTATTAAAAGCTCACTTTGTACTCAAGAGTTACAAAAAGGTCCAATCTGGAAGTTGATAGAGTAAATGGATCCAGAGAGAAACATTTTTAATATTACTGGATCATACATCATAAATAGCAGATGACTAAGTATTATTTGATATATATTGTTTTTGTGAGAAGTCCTAAAGGTGACCTATACAAATAGGTATATGCCTTTTTTGATCCTTTATATGATGTATGGAAGGTCTGAAAGCATTTGTTTTTGTTGCGATTTTTTTTCCTGTGGTCCTTGTTTACAGGCAGTCCCCGGGTTACATACAAGATAGGGACTGTAGGTTTGTTCTTAAGTTGAATCTGTATGTAAGTCGGAACTGGCGTCCAGATTCAGCCGCTGCTGAAACTGACCGCCAGTTCTGACTTACATACAGATTCAACTTAAGAACCCCAAGC